AATTCCAGGCGAAGTGCGTTCACTTTAATCGCTAATGAAACAAATTTATTCGTTAAAAACTTTAATTAGTTGTTGGATAGTTGTAATTACCGTTTCAGCGCAGTCACAGTTTGAAAAGGATTATATAGTTATTAATTTCTTATCAGTTTTTAATTGATTCTGACAAAATATGCTTCTAATCAATCGTTTCTTAAAATAAAATGTGTGTGTAACTATACTTTTTAATTCACATGATGACACACACAGATATATGCAATTTCAGTTAATGATATTAGAATATTACTTTTTGCTAGTGTACTGCATTCTTTCAATTTTGTTATAATTTTGAAACTCGAGCCCAAAAGGAGATGTCAAATTTATAATAAAAATATTGCCAAAATATTTCATCTTTAAATACCTAAGTTCCCTTTCCACCTTTCTTTTGTACAAGAGGAGAAGCTATAAGCTACAAAACAACTGATATAGTAGCCATATATAACTATAATCGATTTCCTATCAACATTACTACATTTTCAAACTTGATAAAAGAAAGAAATAAGTGTCATGGAAAAACGTTCAAATGTTTCAAAGTAAAACCGCAGATATGCATTTATCATATTGGCATACTCAATACTCATACACCATCATAAAGTAACATTGTCACAAAGTACCGGTAACTACAGAAGGATACAGAAATATCTGGTAAGTAATGTGGGAAGTAATATTTTACTAAAATATACCGCTCCTGCTTATAATAATGTCAATGTCAAATTAATAAGGTTAAAAGTCCCATATAAACAAACTTCGAATAAGTTTTTACTAAACTTAACAAAGGACTTCTGGTTGTCAATTAGTGTCCTGTTCCAAGAAATGCACATTTATCTATGTCTACGTGACAACCGTCACACAGCGCTGTATCTAGGATCTAAAGTAAGAAGCCATAAGAAAGATATGTTTACTTGGTAATATTTTTTCTTTGTCTCATGTTTAACGTCAATAGGAAACATACCCAAGAGAGAAAAATGTGCTGACGCCATTACTGTATTCGAGAATAAAGAAAACTTGAATGCGTAAATACTGAATTTCGCTGTTAATTTATACTAAAAAAATTAATACTACTGCTATGAAAATTTTGTTGTATTTTCTATTTCTCCCTGTATACAGCAATAACATAAACTCGAGAGATCACTTACGAGGAACTTGTAAATATTAATTACTTATAATGCATATGATTATATTCAATTATATTGTCAACTTTAATAAGTGATCTTTCAAATTGCGCTTAAACATACCAAAATTAGTCCAGGGAACGAAGAGAATAGGGAAAACCCCCGAATACTTTTTTATGAAAATCTGAAATTAAGCTTATTTCACCCTATAAATGAAAAGTTACATATGCTTGATATGCGCTTCTTATTTTTAGGGGATGAAAACTACCCCTTATGCTAAAAAACTGAATAGGTGTTGTATAGGATAAAATCATATCATATTGTATAGAATAAATATTGTTTTATATTACGGGTTATAATTTTCGTTATTTTTATAAAGTTTCAACTCTTAAACACCACCCTTAATGATAAAAATATAAAATTAATAAGTCTCTTTGACCTTAAAAACCATTTCAATAGTTTATGGTATTATAAATAATTTATTACAATATTCCAACACCTAAAAGACTACCCCTAATAACAAAATATTAAAAAAAATAGTTTTTAACAGTTAGTAGTATAAACTGGATTAACAAATTATTTTACCTGTTTATAATAAACAATTTATAATTTATCGCATTGTTTTAAACCACCCCCAATGGCAAAATATAAAAAAATTCTTTTAAATTATTTAAAACGAATTATAATGTCCTCCTATAGTATTTATGAGATCACTGGGTTCCTTAAAAATCAACTTTCTTATACAAATAAAAACAATTTTATACATTTAAAATTGATAAGTAGAATTATTAAAAGATTAAAGGGAAAAAGTGAAGGTATTCTATCTATATAGAATGCTCCAAATTTGTGGATAACCAAAATATTGATATGCTCCGAAAATTGATAAGGTACCGTTGGTTTTTTAACGATAACTTCCTTAATTTTAAAGCTATTAAGACGATCCAAAAACGATTTTACGGAAAATATCGACAGCTAAAAATTTTGTAAAAAAAGTATTGTAAAATTTAATATTTTTAACTTGTTATTTTTGAGGTTAAAGGGTTTGAAAAACATGACCTTCGCCTTTAACTGCAAACTTCTAGCAGCGACATCTCTGTTAATTTTTATCCTACATAAATAAAAAAAGAAAAACAAAATTTAAAAAAAAGAAAAAAAAAATCTAAACTTTTGTACTCTTTATTAAGTAAGTTATTTTCCAAAATATGTATTAAAATACGAATCAAAAGTAATAATTATTTTAAAAAATATGCTTTCTAAACCGCTTAAACTTGTATAATATATTGTTAGCACATAAAAAATGTAACTTGTAGAAGGATTACCTTTAATTTTAAATCTCGTGTAAAATTCAGCAGTTTTTGTACTGATTTTTTTTTGGAAACAGCAAATTAACAGTTTTATTTTGATCATAACTCTGTTAATTTCTATGCTAATGACTTAAAGTCAAGTTCATTTTAAGACTTTTTAAAATTCTTTAAAAAAATTTCTGTGCATTTTTCTTGAAAAATAGAATTTAATAAAATTATCTTCAACCAGCCGAATCTCAACCTATTGCACCTGCATAAATGAAAAATCGCTCAATTTTTTTCTTTTTCTATAAGCTTTATTTTCTTCGTCATCTTTTTTTCATAGAATATCTATTTTCCGAGTTATTTGAGAAAAACTATTGGTAAACGTCTTTTTTTAATAAAAAAATGTACATTTTCAATCACTCAGAAAATATTGACTTATCGAAAAGTGTTCATAAAATACTTTTTGCTTAAAATTGATTGTTTTATCGATTACTGGGATTATTTTCAATATTTATTTTGTTTTTAGAGTCCAAGTTTCACGTCAATCGGTTCTATCCGAAAAAATTTGGAGGAGAAACCCTTGGTTCCCTCGACTAAATGCGCAGCTCTGTAATATTCTTGGGAAAATACTATTCAATTTAAAATAAAATATGAACAGGATCTGTCAACAGTACATCCTATATATTGATAGTTAAATTCGACAATATCTAGGGTAACTGTTNAGTTTATGGTATTATAAATAACTTATTATAATATTTCAACCCCTAAAAAAAACACAAAAATAACAAGATATTTAAGAAAAGTGAATTATAATGCTCTGGTATAGTGTCCAAAAACGATTTTACGGAAAATTTCGATAGCTAAAAGTACTGTAAAATTTAATATTTTTTAACTCGTTATTTTTGAGGTTAAAGGGTTTGAAAAACATGACCTTCGCCTTTAACTGCAAACTTCTAGCAGCGATATCTCTGTTAATTTTTATCCTACATAAATTAAAAAAACCAAAATATTCTGTGAAAAAAAAATCGAAACTTTTGTACTCTTGAATATTTTCCGTATCTTTTTTATTTTTAAAGTTATTTTCAAAAATATGTATTAAAATATGAATCAAAAGTAATAATTATTTTAAAAAATATGCATTCTAAACCGCTTAAACTTGTATAATATATTGTTAGCACATAAAAAATGCAAATTGTAGAAGGATTACCTTTAATTTTAAATCTCGTGAAAAATTCAGCAGATTTTGTACTGATTTTTTTCCGAAACAGCAAATTAAGTTTTATTTTGATCACAACTGTTAATTTCTATGCTAATGGCTTAAAGTCAAGTTCATTTTAAAGACTTTTTAAAGTTCTTTAAAAAAATTTCTGTGCATTTTTCTTGAAAAATAGAATTTATTAAAATTATCTTGAACCAGCCGAATCTCAACACCTATTGCACCTGCATAAATGAAAAATCACTAAATTTTTTTCTTTTTCTATAAGCTTTATTTTCTTCGTGATCTTTTTTTTTCATAGAATGTCTATTTTTCGAGTTATTTGAGAAAAACTATTAGAAAACGTCTTTTTTAATAAAAAATGTACATTTTCAATCACCAATAAAAAATAATGACTTATCGAAGTGTTCATAAGATACTTTTTACTTAAAATTGATTGCTTTATCGATTACTGGGATTATTTTCAATATTTTATTTTTCACCCCCTAGAAGGGGTGGCTTCCACCCCCTGGGCTCATCGACCCTATATAACTTTTGTTTCTTGAGCTATTTTCTACTTACAGTCCAAGTTTGACGTCAATCGGTTCTATCCGAAGAAATTCGAAGGGAAAACCCTTGGTTTCCTGGACTAAATGTGCAGCTCTATAATTATTTAATTCTTGAGAAAATACTATTCAATTTAAAATAAAATATGAACAGGATCTGTCAACAGTACATCCTATATATTGATAGTTAAATTCGACAATATCTAGGGTAACTGTTAGTTTAGCCTTTTGTTGTGTAGATTCGCTTGTAACAATCACATTTTTTCCTAATTAGCATAAGCAATTATTTTAACAATTACAAAATAATAGTTCCAGTGCTAGATTCTAAAGTACTGTTTGACACATTTGCTTACTTTCACTGCAGCCATGTGCGTATAACAATAAAAAATGGAGCTTCGTTCATATAAAAGATCACTCCTATATTTTTAGAAAGCCAATTATTTCTGTTACGCTTTTACAGTCGTGAGTATTTGAATTATTTATGTTTTTGCGGTAATCCTTTTGGTTTCAGAATTTTCTGCAATAAAACTGTTACCGGTGTTACATATTTTTTTTACGTAATTGGGGAATTCAGCCGTTAAAATCTTCAAGGACACTGCATAATATGTTTATATTGAAAATTTTTTATTCCATTCCACTAAAATAGATTCTTTAGATTACCATCTTCTACCATTTCTCTATCCTTCTCATTTCATCGGAAACCATATTGAAAAAAACCTTTTGTCTTTGATGGTTCCCTTTGAAGATTTATGACTTATAAGACTCTCCAAATTAACCAGAATAGACATAATGTCATACATACCTTTATTGTCCTACAGTTTTCTAAGGTTTCGCTCCTGTACCTGCAAAAATATTTCATTTTCTAACAATGAAGGATAGTCTTGATAGATTAGTGAGATAGCATAGGGTTAGAGATGGTTGATGTTTTCTTGATGTTGCCTGGAATGTGTTCTCTGTATATATTAGTGGGACTTCATCCACTGTATAATAGTCAGTGTATCTATCTTTTTTCAAATTTATATAATGTGGTGTTGAATGTCATCAGATGACGAAGCAGAACTTGCACGCGTGTTGGTAATGGTAGTATGTTGTAATGAAAAACATTATTAAGTAGATCTGCTTTGATCCATATTTGTTGTTATTAATTTGAATTGTGTATAAAGTATTTCAAATTTGTCTTTAGTGATCTAGTAGATGGTGGAGGCAACTATAGAAACTAAAGATGTATGTATGTTCTTTGTATATGTTGGTGTTTGGTCCTTCATCCATTCTGGAATGGTCAGCATGTATCGTTTCCATATGTTTGCATAATGTAAGAATGAATGTCATGAGATTATAAAGCAGTTGCATGCTAACATGGTTATTGTAGTCGTGACAGTATGGTGTGAAGGAAAAATTGGTTGGACAGTATATATGTGAGTTGTCTAATACCAATGCTTGAGATGATGGACGTATCTTCAAAGTATTAATACAATTTTTCTCTTGTGTAAGTACTGGAAATGGTCATACCAAAATACATATGTCCTATACGGATGAAAATTAGTGTACAGTTTCCTTAATGAAACTGTGTTATTTTTTTCTATCTCTTAAATATTACATTTCTGTTAAAGATGGTGAAGGTCATTTAATTGAGTATGAAAGTATTTTGTATCATAAACCATCAAGATTGTAACAAATTTCGATTGTGGTTTCTTTTTCAGCTTCATAGTTCTCGGGATAATCCCTAATACTTATTGAGCTCATACAGTTAATCTTCTGATAATAATATAAAATAGGACCGTCAGTATCCTCTACTCTTGTGCATTTCAACTTTTCCAAAGAATACTGTTCAAATATTAATTCTATTCGAAAGGTGGTAAAGACGACTATAGAATACCTTCATTGTTATTAAAGGCTAAATGGAATAAAAGTGATTTGCTCCAGAAGAAGGAAGACTGAAATATGTTTTGAATTATAGATTCTCCTTTAAAAAATGTAGTCAAGGAATTCATTGATGAGGCCAAAACAGTCTGACGTGCAAAGATGACGAAGGCAACAAATATAAATGACATAAATCGAGAACCTCGAAAAATTTGGTTATTCTGTGGAAATAGGGACAACACAAACTATTTGCCGTAGATCAAAGGCCAAAAAACTCGGATACAACTGTCTCCTCCACCTTCATTAGTTCCCGGACAACCCTTGCTACTTATTGAGACCTTGCAACTACGGACAATAATTTCATTTGGGAGTTTCGGCTTCCCGGTCCTTTGTGCGGGGCTGCGGTTAATCAGGCCTGCCAACTTAGGACTTAAATCACGCTTTGAACGCCACCGCGTCCGTCTCCTTCGGTTATCTCACGTCATTTGACCGCCTCCGAACAATGCGTCTTGGCCTATTTGCATCCCCGCGCCACGTCAAGATAAATTCCGGGAAACTTGTCCGGAATTTAATATATGGCGATCGCCATTGTTGTTTTTACACTTGTTAATTGGGAGGGTCGCAACGGAAATGGAATTAATTAGTTTGAAACTCTTGCACAATGGAGGACTCGGTCTGACGAAGTACTACTAAATATTGCTTTGTGTAATTGGGGCTGCGGGCTGCTGATTGGCCGGAATGGCGTTAATTGTTGTTGTGAATTGAATGTTGCGGAGGAATGCAAGTTTAGTGGAGTAGTATTGTGTTAGAATTATAAATCTTTGAGAACTATTTTTTTAATAACTGTTGAGGGAGTCAGATCCTCTAATTTCTTTGAAAATATTTGATGAAATAACATGACTACGTGTTGTGTTGACAGGGCAATGTACTTACTCTTAAATACACTCACTGATTTTTCAAAAAACTTGTCTGATGTTATTTTCCAATGTTAATAATTTCCGTATTCTGTAATGTGTGGTAGTCATGGTCTTTTGAAAAACATTAAAGAAGCATATAACTTTTATATGAAACTTTTTTGTAATGTCGAAGATAAAAAATTGCCAGGATATTAATTTTTAATGGAAAAACTCGTCTAGTGATATTTTCCAAATACTCAATATACAGGGTGTATCACGAAGAGGGCCCAGTATGATTATTCAAAAAGTAGTCAAAATTGAAATCTGAAAATTTGTATACAGGGGTTTATAAAAAAGATCTATTTAATGAAAATAGTGTCAGCTTCTTCGCACTTTCGGTTATACCGGAAGTCATCATCAGCTCTATTATTTCAAATGGAACACTATGATATTTATACATTTTTTAATTCTTTTAATTCGGCAAATTATAGACTATTTTGATAAGAGACACTATGGGCCAAAATGTGACAGTTTTCAAGTTATTACTAATTTTAGAAAAAAATTGAGGGATGTAAGTCATTTTTGAAAATAGAATAACTCCGACATTTTGCGTTACTTATTAATGAAATTTGGCATGGATAATTTAAAAGCAATGGAATTCAACCAGTTCACGTCAAATTTGCAGAAATTCATACAGTGTGGCCAATATTGTGACGATAAAGTTGCATTTACTCAAAAATTGAATGCTTAAATTTACTTTAAAATGATACTATAGTTCCCTATACATAAAGTTAACAGTTCCTGTCTAAATTGGAAATTATTGATTTCAACACAGAAAAATCTACGCGTAGGTATGGTGGGTTTATTTAAAGCATCGCCCTTTTTAATTTAATATACTGAATTATTGTTTTTGATGAAGGTATAATGACAATAAAAATTATAGTTCATTGCCGTTTATTATTCAATTCTTTAGTATCCATCGTAGGTACATTTTTCTGTGTTGAAATCAATAATTTTTAATTTACACAAGAACTGTTAACTTTGGGTATAAGGGTATGTATATATTTAAGTAAATTTAATTGTGCATCCATTATGTAATAATATACAGGATGTACCATTTTAAATGTTTTAGTAAATTCAACTTTAACGTCACAATATTGGTCAACCATCCTTAAACACTCTGTATGAATTTTTGAAAATTTGACAAAACTGGTTGAATTCCATTGCTTTTAAATTATCCACGCCAAATTTCATTACTAAATAAAGCTAAATGTCGAAATTATTCTGTTTTTCAAAAATTACTTGCATCCCTCAATTCTTTCGAAAATTGATAATAACATGAAAACTGTCACATTTTGAACTATAGTACCTGATATGAAATTAGTCTCGATTTTAGTCTAAAAATATACAGTGTTCCATTTGAAATAACAAAGATGATTTCTGGTATAACCGGAAGTGCGAGAAAGTTGACACTATTTTCATTGAATAGATCTTTTTGATAAACCCCTGTATAAAAATTTTCAGATTTTAATTTTGACTACTTTTTGAGATAATCCTACTGGGCCCTCTTCGTGATACACCCTGTATATTATAGTTAACTTCTTTAGTATTATTTTTAAGAAATTTAACAAAATAAAATATACAAAATTTTGGCGGAAAATACCTGTCAATAATCTATAACAAAATATTTTCGCTGATCTTTTGAAAGCTGTTGAAGCATCGACACTTCTTATTGGTAGATTCAAAAGAAGGTTGAAAAAGCTGTGTATTTAAAATATTTTCTTTAATCGAAAATAGGTGAATCTAAATATCTAAAAAGGTAAACTTTATTTTGCACTTTTGCAATTCTTTTTATAATTATACAATGTTTGTGTTTCGATGTACAAAGTTTACTTTTGTGGAAAATTTATGACCCAAACCTTTTATATGGTCATGCATATAGCTTTTCAAAGCAAATATTAGAAAAACTGGTTGTTATGTACAGGGTGATACTTTAAAAAGGGGTCAGTTTTTTAGGGCAAAGGCCATCATAGTACGTATTGTTCACAATACTAATCATTTTTTTTTAATTAATCAAATATATAGTTATAATTCGTTTATTAGACTGCGCTTAAACTCTTGTCTACGCCACTACTGAGCAGCTCCCTTATATGCACACTTACCAGTGTTGCCTGTTGTTACCTTTTTAAACCAATTATATGAAACTAATAGAGTGACAGACAACAGAACTGGCAATGTCGTTTTTAAAAACAGATCAAAAGTAACCCCCACATAAATCCGACCCCTATTCGAAGTTACACCCTGTAATGAACCTAAAATATGATTGATACGTTAGACTTGAATCATGCTTTCATGAAGAAATATTAAAATGAGCGTCCTTACGATGCGGGGGAACAAATCCGTATCCAGAAGCTCCTACGACAACTCCGCTGGTTTCGCCGCTATCTGGGGGGGCTGGGGGGAAGACTACTGGGCCTGGGTTTTCTCTGGGGTCTCTGGCAGATTGTAGCGGGGCATCTAAGCCATTCCCGAATCCCTTGAAGCCGCCGAAGCTACCTCCAAAGCCGTACTGTGCCTTAACGACAGCTACAAAACAGGCTATGCATAGTGCTACGGCCTGGAAAAAAAGAATTGGTTAAAGACAACGGAATAACTTGCAAATTGTACATATTAAGCATTAATAGTTTCTCTGGATAGAAAGTGAGGTTAGAACTAGCTGATATGTTTTTTTGCAAAACATGAGCCTTTAGTGATAACATCACGTATGTTATTACTAGTTTAGCTTTCTTTGCGCTTTATTTACTTCTAAAGCGACATTTTTAAAAATATTATTCATGTTTTATTGTGTAAAACAAAATAACATGACTTTGGTTAGGGAATATACAGCGGTATACAAAACTGATTTAAACTCCAAAAAATGCACTTTAATATTTCATAACAACGGATTATTTAGTGATTATTACACGATTAAAATCAAAATCGTGTCTACTTTTACATTCGTGTAAACTATATATCTCACGTTTTTGACATTGCTTATCAACTTACATCTGTGGTACACGTATAAAAATGTTTAGCAATAGGTCGCAGTTCATAACTTCACCTTGACGGTAATAAGATTTAAACTGTTCATTATAAATTATTACTACGGATTTTTCAAAAGCGTAATTGACAAGCTCGTAAGAAACCCGACAGTAAATATTAATAATGTAACCGCGAAACTATTAATTAACAATTATGTATGATTTGAGCAAATAATTTCTATAGAGAAAGTAGAGGCGTTTCTTTCTAGCATGTCACATGTTATTGTTAGGTGTTAAATAAGACATACAATACACATCCTTGAAATCTTGCGGTTTATGTAAGAACTAGTATGCATTCTTCAGCTAAATGAAATAACAATGTGTGAAGTATAGTATTAGGGTTATAAATTTCCCACCAATTACCGTGGTGTAACAAAATAAAATGTAAAAAGTTTACCTAATTATTGTATTTTTGTAAATATATTAAGAAAAAGTAACTAGATCGGGAAATTTTCAGTTAACATTGCGCAGTCTACAAAATAATAATACATCGTCCCCTCTCCACACAAGAGTCACTTTTTATGAAGGAAGCGGTAAAGTTATTTGTGATTTGAGACAAAATAAAATTGCAACAAGGAAAACCTGTTTTGGGACACTTATAAGAGACATAAATTTTTGTAATAAAAACTATATACTCTGCTTTAGACTGCAACAAATTGCTTTAATAAATTTACTACTATTAAAGTGGGTCAAGTCTTAAGGTTAAATGTTAAATCATTGAATAAGCCTTTATGCAGCTGATATCTAATATCGTTCGCAATTAAAATCTCTGTAAACGTAAATTTATTATGACAGTTATTGCATTCCAAATCAATAGGCGTTTGTACTAACTTTTTTGCAAAGATATTTCCTTTTTATTTCTTATATTTTTTCTCTCAGAATTAAATAAGATATAAGCATTTGATAAATAGCTGATAATGAAGTGCGAGTGACTATAACCAACAAAAAAAAAACAAAATTTTATCTTCTGCAGGAAAATTCTCATTTTTGAAATGTAAAGGGTGTCCCAAAGGCATAGACGAAGCTACAATTTTTGCTTGGGATAGGCCCAGGACTGCAAGCTCTATAGAGACCTCGAAAAATAAAACTCTTTCAATCAGCGACTTACCGATATAAAATTTGAACACATTTTGATTTGATTCTATATTTAAAAAAATCTAGGATAGGCACCGGACTTTCCGGAGTGGCCTGTGCACATCCAGCCTCCCCCCCTCCTTCTACACAGACAGAATGATAATTAAGAGCTCTATACGATGGATGAGCGAGTAAAGATTGTAAAAATTCATTACAAGTATCTACGAAGAGTGTGTAGCTGAGAATGTGCGAAAATTACGTGGAATTTTCGGTAGAAGGAACGCCCCGAGTTACTATTTTTTCATGAGGCTTTCATATTTGAAACAATTACAGAAATATAGATAAATACTTTTGTTTTTTCTTAATAATGGAATTTTTCTTTTCCGATATCTTCAAAAAGGATAAAATTGCAGTCGAATCTTGATGATTACTTGAGGACGTAATAAACATTATGCTAGAGGAATTATAAAATGTGCCACGTGTTACAACTGTTAGTGTACAGGCGTTTCTACCGCTTTTACTAATGAAAATTTTAATTTTACAAGATACAGCCTATATCGGTTTCAGAATCCAGCGCAAGGTTGTTGCACAAAGGATCCTACACAATTCTACACACGTGATCGACTGAAACCCGAAGCTATTACCCGCTGCAATCCCACGAATCATAATAATTAGCGACCTGCGTGCATCGAAAACGCATTTCGTCAACCTGATGCAAGATGCAAATCGGGCGTATGAAGCGCCCAAGATTTCTTTCACGGCATGCTCTATTTACCTAGGATACAAACACATGTAGAATATTTGAGAAACGTTTCGTCACAATTACAAAAAATAATTGAAAAGCAATACGTTTAGTTTATTGATAACGTTACATTCCTTTGTCCGTAACACTTTCATAACCTGGGATATTACTTTTTACGGCTAGTTTCTTTTGCCGGTTTTGTGGTTTGGTACTTGCGGCAATTTTGAGCTAATTGAATACTTGACCTTCCCCCAAGGATTTCCTATACTTTCGACAGTAATCTAGCAGTGTCGGGCAGTCCCTGTTGGTAAAGCGTCACGCATAAATACGCGCACAACAAAAAAAAAGTAACGGAAATGACGCGATTGTCGAGCCCCTCACACGGATAATGATTAATTAACCGTTATTATGTAACGATGTGTAATAATTATATAAGTAACTCGCCTGGGCTAAATACTCATTAGAATTGCTAATTATCGAACGGGTAACAACGCGGCGCTTCACACAAGAAGGCTCAGCTTTGATTCACAAAATGGGATACGTAAAATGAAGCTACTTTCTTAAGACTTTTGACATTTCACTAAGACGCTACTGAATAGTGACTTTGAGGGTTGTAAGGAGTTTAGGATAAATAACAAAAACTACTTTTTTGTAAAACTTGACCACGTTTCCACTATACAGGGTGTCACACTAAGGGACGCTAGTAACACTACTCCTGTCGTCGGTGTAAAACTATGTCTAACTTTTTCGCCCTTCAAAAATCTGAATTTCCAGCAAGAAATGAATAAATTGAGTTCATTTCTAGATAAAAAAGGCATACTTAGTAAAAGTGGCTTAACAAAATGAAAAATAAGAAAACGAATAGCTTTTATCTTAACAAAATCAGATTCTTGGCATGAAAACAGACAGTTTTTGAGCTTTCAAAGGATATTCCTGATTTTCAATTTCCTTAGCTATTAGAACAACTCATTAACTTTGCATATCCTTTTGTTTGTCTTCAGTTAACACCCTTCAATGCGCCACACACCGTTATTAGCTTAATTGAAACGGCCAACAGCTGAAATAATAGCGTCTAATTAAATAATTCGTTCGTTTAGATATAAATCTGTAATTGCAACGAACTTTCTCAGCTCCTAGCTGTGGTAAGAGTAAATTTAAACAAACTTATTTTCCAACGAAGGCACATAGTACATGGATGACTGGGTTTCGGTATACATAAGTAACCGCTAATTTGTGGAATTAATATGTAGGTGCCTATTTGTAATCGAAAAAATGTTGTTTCAAGATAATGATCAGGATAATATTCAATAACTATTCTTACTTATTTATTTTTTTACTATCTATTATAATATCGATAACATATTCTAAAGATATCAACGTATTACCGTAGCATTGGTTTCTAAGGTGAAATTAGTATTGTAACAAAAGCCGGGACGCGTAATAATTTATTTGTTAGTTCTGGGAACGGATGGGCCAAAAAGTAAAATATTTCAGTCAACACTAATTTATCGGAAAGTTAATAGTTTTCAAGTAGGTTTAACGTCGCCAAGACCGTCCTTTGGGGAAGACTTCACGAAATTTAGCAATATTTTTTGAACAAGTTCACTTAGAGTCGGGGCCATGTGTTGAGCAGGTAAAAGAGAAAAATCTATATATTTAATAACACGCAAAACCACGAGAAAAGCGTAGAGGTTCCAAAGTAGAATTAAATCAAATTGCTATATTGATAGTAATTGGAAAAGGAAGTAATGGATAAAATTGCTGGTTTTTTGGCGGATTTTCCAAGCTATAAGGATATATTAAATGAGATCGACTAATCTTTCCCGTATCGCTACACGGAGTCACTAGAGGAAGGCTAGGGTTACTTGTAAGTAAGTTTAGTTTCAAAATTATTTACACAATTGTAAAATCAGTCAATTAGATAGCTATTAACATGGCATAGTTATGCCAAAGCGTCCCGATATTTAGGGTTCCCGCCAGTAAGATAGGAACAGAAACGTCTGGACCCAAGAAATGGACGTGTCGAAACGAAGTATTGAATTCAGGGGAAATATCCGAAAATAGGACAGTTCTTCCTTGGGTTTCACATTAGTTTTAGAGTCTCGGGTTAATTTAATAATGGATAAAGTCATTCCAAATTTTGCTATGGATCGCGGGAATCCTTGAATCTCGGTACGCTGTCGCGTGTCAATAAAGTAATTAATAATGTTTTTCGAGCCGTTGTGTAGTTTGCTTGTTTGTTTGTTTTGTTTTTATTGTTATTAAAACTCTTCCTGGAAAGTGTTGGTGTTTCTTTTTGTTTCTTCCAACCTCAGTGTCACTCTGTACAGCCAGTCACTGGATTACATTCTACGTAAGCAATGGATGGTAAGTGCTTGAAATTCATTCTCTGAGCATACAACATTTCTAAGTTCCCACGTATTAATTAAAATGTACCTAATGATAATTATAAACTCCCTTTCAAGAACTAAATAGTAAACTCTTTTGAAATCCAGACTCGTTATGATACTGGTCATAACGATAGATAGATAGATAAAGAAATAACCCCTCAGGTTACAACATTAATCTCAAATAATATTTCATAAAAACAATGACGTTTTTAAATTTTCGAATATTTTATTTAACAGAGAGAACTACAGCGTACACAACCTTCGCAAATGATTATAAGCCACGTGACTGCAAAGGATAGGCAACCAACATCGCACGACTGGCACGGTCAAC